TAGGGTTTAGGGTTTAGGAAATATTGGGGTTATATTGGGATTATATTAGGGTTATATTGGGGTTATATTGGGGTCATATTGGGGTTATATTGGGATTTAGGGTTTAGGGTTTAGGGTTTAGGAGACTATCCCTCTATAATGGAGAATCAAATGGAAAAGAAAGTGGAAAATGAAATGGAAGCTGGGGGAATATAGGGATTTAAGGAGCGTAAATTAAGTCACTATATTGGGGAAACCCTATATATTACTATATATACCCATTATGGTAACTTAATTTAAGTTCCTTAAAGGCAGGTACCATTCCGTAGCTGGACTGCAGGTGTACACAGCGCAGAACACATCATGAGTGAGGCAGAAACCCTAAAAAAAATTGCAATCTCAGATGACCCACAATAACTACGCCTGCGGAGCCCTTGAAGGTATTTCAAGGCAAGTTGCCTTTCCACTCCAGCACCTCCCCCAAAACAGGGCTCTCTGAGATTCGGGTGCGAGGCAGCTTGTGTCCATTTCCTCGCTTGCCTGAGCTCAGGTGATTCTGTGGCGCCGCTGAACCAAGACAAGTGAGCATTACAGTACCAGCCTATTGACACCGAGGAACCTTTGCCCTTGCCCTTGCCAAACTTTCCTTTCATCATCATCATCATTGGAGATGAGGACCCCTTCCATGACCCCCCACTGCTGCCCCAGCTGGACGAGGACCAATCGTCGCCACCTTTGCCCTTCGACCCGCTCCATGAAGTTGAACTCCCCTTCCAGCTGGGGGAAGAATCTGATTTCCAGGAGGACCCCTTCCAAGAGCTGGCTGAGTCCCCTTGCCAGCTGGAACCTCCTCCCTTCCAGCTGTCTGTGGAACTTCCTTTCCAACTGCCTGTTGAACCTCCTTTCCAACTATCTGTGGAAGATCCTTTCCAGCTGTCTGTTGAACCTCCTTTCCAGCTGCCTGCTGAGTTTCCTCCCTTCCACGACGAAGACCCCGAGAAGCCCCCACCTTTGCCACTCGAGTAGTCATTCTGCTGCCAGCCGCCACCCCAACCTCCTGGCAACCAGCAGAAGTCGCTAGCGTCTGGGAAATGCAGTCTGCACGCTGTCGGTTGTTGAGTACTGTGAAGGCATGTGCTACGGTACTGGACCATGAGAGGGCGCAACAGAATTGCAACATGAGACTACTGCTGTATTGACTGCGTAGGGCTTGACACTGGCTGACCGGTCCTTTGCCGGTATTCTGTTTCAACTGCGACTGCCATACCGCCATGGCTTGAAGGGGGGCGGGGCACGTCTTTCTCAGGCAGCGCTTGAGCAAATAGAGGCCCCGGCATGTGCAACTGCTGTGCTTCTATCAAGGATGAAAGGACACAATGTACTGAAGAAAAAGCTGATAAGAACGAAAATGCAAGGTGGGCTGATCTGAGGCTCCTTGGGCAACGCGCCAGTCGCTATGCAGGACATCGCCAGACTCCTCGATGACGCGAGCTGCAAGATGAGCCGCCTGAACCCGCTCAGAGCACAACTTCAGAACTTCACACTGAAATCAGGGCCAAAGTCCCATGCTCCCGATGCATGCGTCAAAAGATGCACGTCGCCTGACTGACGACCCTGCGCGCTCTGCCTTCGATTCGCCTCTGCAAAAAAAACATCAGGCACAATGCACTCAGCTTCATTGCCTGTAGTCTGACGCCTGTTGACCTAGCCCAGCTAGCTCACCTGCAACCTTGGCATACCATCAACAAGTACGACACTGGCCTCCAGACGCGGGAATTCCTGAGGCATCCATGCAAGCAGTGTTGAGCCAACAGGCAGGCTGGTTCTAAATTGGTGCTTTGGCTAGGCTCATGGAAGCCCTGACCACCCCATCGGGGTTGGCAGTTCACATGTGGGAACTTGGCTTAGGATTCTTCTATGCGTAGGCATTCCCTACAGCAGCGCCCATGATTTTCAAACCCAATGCCATCTGCAAACAAGCAGCTGCTCGACTCTGGCTTGCTGCGCACGGATGACATAAATACCTCACTTCAAAAAGTAATATCCATCATGATTCAAAGGGAGCTGCTTGAGCTCCGGCAGCAGAATGCAAAGCACAAAACTCTTCGATGCACAAAGTCCTCTGACAAGGCCTGCGCTCGCGGACAAAGAGGCTAAAAGGTAAGAAGCATATTTTTAGACTTTTTCGGTGGGCTAGGGTGCTGGGAGTCCCAAATGTGAGCACGCTCCGTGCAAGAGCTCAATTTGCTGACAAAATGCAAGGAAAACTCCATGCCAGAGCTCAAATTGGTGTCAAAGTGAGGAAGCTCCACTAGAAATGAAAACAACAAGGATGATGATTATTAGCCGAAGTAATCGTAGAGGTAATAAAAATCACAAAAATATCAATCATAAAAACAATGGTAATATTGGAAACTAGCAAGAACGGTTTTAACAGCTAATGCTGGAAAAGGCTGACTAATAGCAAGAATGGGAAGTTTTGGCGATGATGATAGAAACAGTAATAGGAGCCATGATAATAGCAACATGTTTTTAATTGCGGGGAATATCTCGCTGACAGGTACCTACATTACAATCCTTGTCATGCTGGCTGGATAGTTTCCTTCATTGCTACTTTGCTTCTCGCAATTACCTCACGAGTATCACCTGACAGCATGACTTTTCATGTGACCTCTTATCCGTATAATCTAAATAAGGTAGGCAGCTTAATTGATATCGAACTTTGATTAAACAAAAGTTAGATAGTGGTAGTAACAGAGTAGGAGCAAAAAATGAAAAGGCATAGTCATAATTATGGCTCTAATGACACAAGTCATTGTGCTGGAACTGGGAACCTTCCGGATAGCAACTTTCCGTTCAACATTGCGAAGGGGTGCGGGGTTTCGGAGAGGACTGACATGTCTGAGTAAGTCCACGCAGTGTCCAGGGGCAGTGGGCGGCAATAAAGCTGAAAAGCATGGGTGATGATAAGAACAATTACTTTCTGCATCGATTTTGAGAGGACTGAGGGCCGGAAAAGCCGAGAAGACGGAAAGCCAGGAGGACAACAATAGTAATAGTAGTAGTAGTAGTAGTAGTACTAATAATAGTAGTAAGAATAGTAATCACAGGAGCCAAGAACCCGGGCCATGAAGCACTCCGCGCAAGAGCTACAATACAAGGCGACAGCTCAATTTGGTGTCAAAACGTGTTAAAGCTCCACGCGAAAATTCAATTATGTTCAACTTGAGACAAAACTTGAGGACGTTCCATATGAGAGCTCTAATTGGAGCCAAGATGTTAGGATGCTTTGCATGAGAGCACAATTCTAAACGAAAATGTGAGGACGCTCCACGCGAGAGCACAAAGGAAACCAAAGGACCAGGAGACCACAGGAAAACCCGCACAGACCAGGAACAAAAGACCCCCGCTCCACCCCCAAAGAACGCGTGGCCCTCGAATAGGTAAATTCAAGGCACTGCTCATCGTGGTGAGAGTCAACACCCGTGAGAAGATCAGCTTTCCGGCAATGACCTCAGTCAGCTTCAACAACCACAATCGCAGTGTTGCATCTGTCAGACAGGATGCTACAGCTTCTAGTCACTAGTGCCATCGGACGAAAGCTAACAGGAATGAGGCAAGTACCCCCCACTTGGTCAGAACCTGGCAGCAGGAGGCTGCGCGTGAAATGGTCCGAAGGGCTTGCAACTTACCTCGACTTCACAGCGGGCTCGCGTTTTTGGAGTCAAGGCGTCCAGTGGCCTTCAAGTAAGGCACACTAGGTAAACGCATGTCGCCTGCTGTGCACTGATCAAATGAGATCCTGGCGAAGATAGCGAACTTGAATCTCCATCATCAATCTTGTGCGCCATACCTGCGTTTGACGCTGATGCGCTGGGATATTTTGAATGACATCTCTCTGTCAACTGAAGATGGCATCAAGCCCGATGGGAATGACCGTGCAGTACAATCGCCGTGAAAAAATTGCAAGCAAGCAGTCCGACAGTCAACCTCATCTGGCATGCACATTACTACGGAGCCAGGCAGGTCTGAAAGCGCCCATACGGAGCAAGATGGTGTAGAGCTGCAAACTGACACATGTGAGCTCACAACTCCAGGATGACAGAGTTGCAGGTGTGCCAAGGCACATAGTGGCGGGCGTTGATGCTTCACTTCTTCAGCCAAGGGCAGGACCTGCGCATAAATTTTGCTGTTGTGCCCATTGCGCAGGACGCAAATGGGCTGAAGTCCCCATGCAGGCCTTGCCTCTGCTCGCTTTGTGTAGGGGTCGTAGTAGTCAAAGAATTCGTCAATGATGACAGGACCCTGCTAAACCAGAGCTTCTGTCTTGGGAGGGGCTGTTTGTTAGGAAACTCCAGCACAGGCAAGTCATCTAACCCTGCGCATACGTGGAATTAATGATCATCAAAGTCTCCAACTCCAACGCCTATATTAAATATGGGCCCTAAGTAGTTAGTTGCTCATCGTCGAACCCCACAGAATGATAAGCATTCAGAGCCTTTTCCACGGCCTCAAGCTCACAGGAATCCCCGTCATCATCATCATCCTCAATGTCAGCCTGTCAATGCTCTTCAATTATATGGCGGCAACAGCAACGCTGGACAAACAGTTCCCTGGAGAAGGGGGACCTGCCTGATACTGAAGAGCGGGGATTACGTGCAAACTCTGGCCTCATCCACTTTGGGAGTCCGCGGTGTTCGTGGAGTCTTTGGAGTCCGAGATGTCGGGGTGTCAGCTTTGGAGTGGAGCGGTGTTGGTGACAGCGATTGATTCAAGTCCCTGCTGGACCTGCAGCACGTGCCAGCTTCCCCAACTTCTAGGCTGGATGAGCGACGGCAGCAACTCTACACTGACATGCTCAAAGCTAAGACTTCAGGCGACCCCCTCCCTTCCAACGGCCTGTGTGGTATTATCGGCGGCCTCGAGCACAACTGAGGCTGACAATCACATGTCCTATGACCTATGGCAGTGAAAGTTTGCCACATGGAACACTGCCAAGAAGGCCAGGCGGATCATAAATTATTCGTTCCCCATGGATCAGGCCGCGGCAAAGACAGCGATTGGAAGTCTTCGCCTGAATGCTGCAGGCTTCTGACACCGCAGCATTCGCAAGCTCAATTCCTCAAGCTGCAGCCACGAGGCCAAAGATCTGCAAAGCGTTGGACTCATCCACAAGGCTGCGCTCTCTCTCATCCTGGCCCAAGGCAACCAACGGACAGCTTTCTTACTCAGCTGGGTTAGAGCAGAGGCCTTGTCGCAGCATTTGTTGCAGAGGATTGCCTTGCTGGACTGACAAGACAACCATCACAGTGGCAAACATTGTGGAGCTGGGATTCCCGCGCTGCCCATGCAGGGTCAGGCATGCAGGGTCGGGCCGCGCTGGCCCAGAATCTTCCTAGCTTACCAAAGCTGCTTGGGCTTGCTCATCTGCGCAGGCGTGGTAGAGGTGAACTTGCGTAGGCCCTAGGCGAGCTTCAACAGGTCAGGGTAGGCATGCAGTGTTGAAATTGGCACTGTAGGAGTTTTGGCAAAGGGCACCATCCTGCACATCTCCTGCTGACTAGCGCTGCGTGGAATGCCTTGCTTCCTGGCTTTTCATGCACCCTCCTCAAGCCAATGGCCACCGGCAGAAGAGTTTCACACACATACACACTCCTCACTCTTAGAGAATATCCTCCAGAGTCTAGACCTGCACGAAGCATGCAACGGCGACCTGATCCCAACCTTCCAAAAAATGAAACTGAAACAAATATGGAGCATCACCAAGCCCAAGGGGTGTTACGGTGAGACTGCAGAGAAAAAACACTGTCAACACGATGCGGACAGGTTGATGTGAGAATGAGCTACTTGTAATCTGTCACATAGGGCTTTCCCAAAATTAGGGGTACCTTTTGGGGTTCCCGATGTGAAGGATTATGGTGTTTTGGGGTCTATATTGGGGTCCCTATTTTGGGAAACTACCAGCACACGATGCCGAAGCGCGTTCGCAAGTGGCTTATGCAAGCGTACATCAAAACAGCTCACTGCCGGACCAAATGATATCAAATGATGGCTGGGCCCCAGACATCTGCACTCCATGGCAGGGGAAACAATTGGACAGGAGGGTGGCAACCAGAGGATGGTTTTGACTTTTGATAGCTCAGACATATTCAGCCCGCAACCACCACGTGTCTTTGTTGCTGCGTTATTCGCAACTACCACTACACACATCTCCTTGAAACAGCTGGCACCTGTGAACTCCTGATTTTACACTATTGATGATGCTCTGATTGATTTTGCCTCTTTCTGGATTTGGCGCTTCACAACTGCACGTCAAGGCGGATGTGCTCTGAAAGCGCCTGACGCGTGACATCACAAGTCGATAAGCAGTTCAGCACATTCAGCCTCTCTTGCGCATGAAAATGTGAGCTCACAGCTCCAAATTTCTTGCCTGCCTTCAAAGCATGTCAATCGATGTGGCCCGTTTTGGGCCCTACATGCGCCTGAAACGACAACTCCCGACGCTACTCTGCAGATGCAGAAGATGCCTTCACCTGTGATACAGCGGATGTAAGGAAGATGATGCCCTGCCACCTGAAGCCTCCCTATATCTGGTTGTGAACTGCATACCGAAAGACATACCGCTCATCATCTCCCTACAGAAAAAGGCTTCACAGTTGCTGTACATTACCAAACTTCAATATGCTGTCGAGGGGGGTGCGACATAGAGGTGAACATCATGAGAACAGCATGAGAACAAGTGGATGCATCAATTGAATATGCGAACCACGTGGCTGACAATTGCAATGCAGCTTGAAGCTTGAATGCAGTAAGCTCGGGACGTCATCGCTTGGCTGCTTGATTTCTTCCTTTGGCGCTGCAGGTGCAGCAGACTCAAAGTCCTTGGCCAAGTTCAGGGATGGAGGTGTCTCAAATTGTGGGCCTGGTTTTCAGGGTCCACATTACCAGACCCAACAAGGACTGTCCGAATATGTTGTCTGGGTGGTATACAGCCTAATTTTGAGATGATGGGCTACACTCTTCGGCTGGCAGACTAAGCCTTGCACTGCAACCCAGTTTGTTGTGGAAGGCACCTAGCCGGACAGTCGAAGTCTCCACACGCCGCTTGACTGTCGGGATTGCTATGGATCAGCCCACCTCTGCAGGCGCTGCAAAAGGATCGGTCTGACCCACTGCTTTGAAAACGTCTGACTGCTCCGCTTCCCGCAACGAATCCCCTTCAAGGCTCCTCTCTTCAGCCCGCTTCTCAGAAGCTATCGGGGATTCTGCTGGAGGCGACGCGACTTCTGTATCTGGCTTGGTATCTGCCGGTGCATCTTTAGCAAGTGATTCAGGAGCAGCTTCCGGAGCACTTGCTTCTACAGCTGACGCCGCATCAGCAACCGCAGCATCTGCTGGTGCTGTGGACGCCTGTGCTGCACCTGATCCTGTGGCTGCTGGCGCCGCATTCGCAGGCACCGGCGCTGCTACTTCGGCTGCTGCTGGCGCTGAAGCGGGTGTTGCAGCAGATGATGCTGTCGAAGCTGCCGGCGCAGAGGTCGCTGCGGTTGCTGCTGTTGCAGCAGTTCCTGCTGGCAGGGTTGCGGCCTTTTGCAGGGAGGCGGCTGCAGGGGCTGGTGACGTTCCTGCAGCTTGCAAGGCCTCGTAGACCTTCTGCTCAGCCTGAGCTCTGCGAAGCTCAGCTTCGGCGGCTCTCTGAGCGGCCAATTCGATCTCGGCAGCACGAGCTTTCTTGCGCGCGGCCTCCTCGTCTTGAAGCTTCTGCCACCTGATGCGTTCAGCCTCCTCACTGGCTTGACGAGCCTCTCTTGCCTTCCTGGAAGCGTCACGCTCCGCAGCTTCCCGAAGGGCTTCTTGCTCCGCCTCTCTGCGAAGGGCGTCCTGCTCTGCAGCAGCCTTTCGAGCGGCTTCCTTCTTTGCTGCCTGCTTTGCGGCATCCGACTCTGCAGGCGGACTGCCTTGTTCCAGTGCAAGAGAAAGCTTGGAAGCCACTTCAAGCAAAACACGCCCTTAGGCTCAGACCACCGGAGGCTACAGCTGGGCCTGAGATATGCCGATGTCCGTTTCAGCATGCTCGCTGGGTTGCACTCAACACTGCATGCAAGAAGGTGGGATCACGCTCAGCAGTAGCAGTCTTGCGATTCCCACTGCGCGACCATGACATCACTATTAAGCCTCTTATCACTATCACTATCGTCACTACTCTCACGATTATTACTATTATTACTCTTATGTGCCTCGGCCTCTGGCCAACACGCGCCTAGAGCAAGCTGACAAGGATCCTGCCTTCTCCCCCTCTCCCCCAGCCAAAAATCATCCTTCCCCCCCCCCAGCTCGCTGGGCCCCTCGAAAGCTTACCCCCAATTAACACTCGTTTTCTGGACGCCACGAAGAGGCCCCCCCTTTGACCCCTCAAGCCTGGCAAGACTCTTAAGACAAGACGTCTTGGCCTCTTGCCAGCCCGGCTGCCGAGGCGGGCTCGTGCTAGCACTTACCAGTACGATTTGATTAGCACACATTAGCACGATTATTACCATTTATACTATTGTTACTATTGCTACGTTCTACTATCGTTACTATCATTACAATCATTACTATGACTATTCTTACTTTGTTATTCCTACTGCTAGTATTACTATGAATTACTGTTGCTATTCTTACTGCTGTTATTACTACTGCTTTTATTACTGGTCACAACTTGCTTTAATGGGAAGCCGAGGCCAGCACTTTTTGACCGCCAACCCGACTCCATGTCCTCTGTGTCAGACAGCTCTTTGCGTCCTTGAGGTTCTCCCAAAGCCTTTATAAGCGCGATAAGGACACAGAAACATGGTGAGCCACAGCATCAAGTTGTGCACAAACCAAAGGACGGGACCCTCTGCAAGCTCTGTGGCACCTAAGCTACACCAATCATCTTCAAAGCTGCTCAAGCAATCTGAACACATTGCTAGAACTGCTTTCGGCCGTGCTGCGAAAACGACCTGTGTCGGCTGCAAATCTGTCAGCCAGCAGAAGAGCAAGGTATCGAACACCACGTCAAACAGGCCCATGAAGCTTGATGCCACCTGAGTGTCAGCACAGGCCACAGCTAAAGGCACACCGATTTGATGCTCACTCATGAGGCCCACGATCACTTGCGCGCTTTGTTCAAAAGTAGCTACCCTGCCTTGTTCCTGTTTGGGAAACTATCTCGACCCAGACCTGGTCAAGGTCTGAGCAAGTGGCAGCAGCGGAAAGGAGGCCGACGGCGGCAACGACCGCCACGCGATTCTCCACCTGGAAGTTGTGCAAATTGGTGTCTTGAGCTTACAGCCTTCCTCAAGGCGCGCACGAACAGGGGAGAGCTCTGGTCTGCGAAGATGTCGAGCCCCTCAGACGAACCATTGCAGGATGCTTGCCCCGAGCAACAGCCATTCGCGGCCGAAGTGCACCCAGCGCAAGGAACGTCAGATAGGCAGTGAGACACGCTGTAGCCAACATGCCCAGGCTGTGAAGACCTTGACAGGTGAAATGATGCAGATTGCAGCACTTGGCAAGAGGCGTAGCGTATATACATGGAAACGCGACTTCCCAAAGGACATGCATGCTCTCTACGAGTATGACAATGACAGTGGCTCTTCAAGAGGAGCCGACTACCAGTAACACCGTTCAGAAAGGCGATGTCCTCCCAAACAGCATTATGCAAAGGCTTGTTCTTCAATGCACCTGCAGCGCACTTTCTCACTGTGTGCAGGCCTGGCCAGCTTTTGCCAAAGTCCTCACCTTGAAGCAAACATGCCGCAAAAACAAAACCCTCGTCATCAACAACAACCGAGGCCGAAACTGCCGCAGTGGCAGAAACAAAGTAGTTGGTGGAGTTCAGAACCTCACTTCTTAATAGGAAACCTTTTGTCACGAGCCATGTGCTGCATGTCCCTCACGCAGGTAAGAAATTGGTGTCCGACCATGACGATGATGGCGTTCTTATTGACGAATCGGACCTGCAAATCAACAATCACATGCTCACAGCACAGGGTCTCAAACAAAGGGATGTCATGATGCCAGTGCATGTTGTCAACCGCTGGCTGGGCTTCACTAATGTGTGTTCGAGTTGCAACTGCCATTGCCAGCGCATCACCCTTTCTGAGCGCGCAGCAACCTCGTCAAAGCACCATACACAGCACAGGCAGTTCGACATGATGCCATCCGGCGCATGCCTTCACAGCCCACAAGCAGAGCAACTTCCTAACGGTTCCACATCCCTTTACCAGAATGAGTAAAGTTCTTATGCGAGGGATCCCAGCAACGAGGGTTGATAGTTTGAGGCCCTCATGCTTTCAAACGACCAACCCTTGCGTGCGGGCCTCTCG